ACCTTTGGGATCAGTTGGAGTGAGTCTGCATTTAACACCTTTGGGATGAGTTGGAGTGAGCCTCTATGAACATTTTGGGATGAGTTGGAGTGAGTCTCCATTTAACACCTTTGGCATGATTTGGAGTGAGTCTCCATTTAACACCTTTGGGATGATTTGGAGTGAGTCTCCATTTAATGCCTTTGGGATGAGTTGGAGTGAGTCTCTATGAACATTTTGGGATGAGTTGGAATGAGTCTCCATTTAATACCTTTGGGATGAGTTGGAGTGAGTCTCCATGAACATTTTGGGATGATTTGGAGTGAGTCTCCATTTAATGCCTTTGGGATGAGTTGGAGTGAGTCTCTATGAACATTTTGGGATGAGTTGGAGTGGGTCTCCATTTAACACCTTTGGGATGAGTTGGAGTGAGTCTCCATGAACATTTTGGGATGATTTGGAGTGAGTCTCCATTTAATGCCTTTGGGATGAGTTGGAGTGAGTCTCTATGAATATTTTGGGATGAGTTGGAGTGAGTCTCCATTTAACACCTTTGGGATCATTTGGAGTGAGTCTCCATTTAATGCCTTTGGGATGAGTTGGAGTGAGTCTCCATTTAACGCCTTTGGGATGAGTTGGAGTGAGTCTCCATTTAATACCTTTGGGATGAGTTGGAGTGAGTCTCCATTTAATGCCTTTGGGATGAGTTGGAGTGAGTCTCTATGAATATTTTGGGATGAGTTGGAGTGAGTCTCCATTTAACACCTTTGGCATGATTTGGAGTGAGTCTCCATTTAACACCTTTGGGATGATTTGGAGTGAGTCTCCATTTAATGCCTTTGGGATGAGTTGGAGTGAGTCTCCATTTGAACACCTTTGGGATGAGTTGGAGTGAGTCTCCATTTAACACCTTTGGGATAAGCTGGGATAATGAACTTCCATTAGCAGATGAAGCTCCTCCAGTGAACACCTTTGTGATGAAGTTTTACTGAACACTATTGGAATGAGTTGTGGTGATGAAGTTCCAATGAATACCTTAGGGTTGAGTTGAAGTGATGAAGCTGCGATTGAGCTGTGATAATGAACTTCCACTGAACACCCTGAGGAAGCTCTATCAGCAAAAACACCTTGGGATGAGTCAAAGTGATGAAGTTTTACTGAACACCGCTGGGATGTGTTGAAGTGATCAAGTTCCACTGAAGACCTTTGGGATGAGTTGGTTTGATGGAGCTCCTTTAAACACTATTGGGATTCGTCTGAATGATAATGATGGAGCTCTGCTCATCTTGGGGATGAGTTGGTGTAATGGAGCTCCATTGAACACGAGTTGGAGTGAGGAGCTCCAATGAACACCAATGAGGTGAGTGTGAATGACGGAACTCATTAAAAACCTTGGGGATGAGTTGGAGTGATGAACACCACTAAAGTGAGGTTAAAGGATGATGGAGCTCCCTGACCACCTTAGGGATTGGGTGGAGTGATGAAGATCCATTAAACTTGGGGGTAAATTGGTGAACATCTTTGTCATGATTGGCTGAATAAATGATTTCAGAAGAAACGTTGAAGGAGAAGATGTCTGGATACTTTTGGGCAAAAATAGATTTCTTCCTGAAAGATATCTTTTTTGCAGGTTATATCTTGGTGATATCTGATTGTATCACATTTTATCATATTGCAGTTTCATTAGATCAGTCTGAGGATTGGACTGGAACGAGTCAGATCAGATTTTATTGAAAACGTAATGACTTGGCTGAGAATGGATTATTATATTCTATAAGAGTGAATATAGAGGAGAATGGATGAAAGCTGATTAGAACAGTGTAGAGTAGCGCACTGACCTGACTGTGGGTCCACTGTAAAATACTGCTGGCCCTGGACCACCGAGTACACCAGTTTAGCACTGTTTCCATACGTCTCATCATCTGCATCTGTAGCAGTAACCTGAATAACAGACGTCCCTGAGAGAAAAGGAGACGGAGGAAGAGAGCGTTTAGTAAACGAAAGCCAGAAAAAGTGGGCGGGGAAGAGGGAGACTGAAATGAAGGCAGTACAAGGAAAAGACACAGCGAGGATATATATAGAGACAGAGTTAGGAGAAGAGAGTGGGAAGAGTGAGGAAGAAATGAAGGGGATTAAAGAGAAAGGCATAAAGAGAATGAGTGCGGAGAGTGGAGAGGAGAAAGAGAGAGAGCGTATGGAGGAGAAAGAGTGTGGAGTAGGCCTGGGCGAAAGGGTGATGCAGTCAGATACTGACAATGATTGACAAGTAAGCCAAAAAGGATGCTAATCTCCACTTGGGAAAAGAGAACGGATAGAGATCTACAGAGGACTCATTTCATTTTAAACAGCTTGCTAAAGCCTATAGCGCTGAATAATACGTACATGTAATATATTATTCTTTTTTACTGTTAAAACTATGGATTTTTATGAGGCACGAACATGTAGAGTAAATACTGTGTCTCTGCAGGGGTTTCCAAGAGTGCGACATAATGTGAGAATATTTCTCAGCTATGTTGTCCTGATGGTTCAATGGCTTGTGAAATTGTGAAAATATATTCCTTCATGGTTTCTCATGGACATCTTTAGTTAAGTCCAGAGCCCTCCACTATAATGATGGTAAACACCTTGATTTTTTTTTAATATGTAAAGGACGTGGTTGAGGCTTTGGAAGTCATTTACGGGTACATGTGTGGCAGATTGAAGATTCTCCAGCAGGGGGTGCTATTTGCTTTCATGTTCATCATCTAAAGAGAACAAAGTGTTTTCAGACAGTGGTTTTTTGAATTTTCAGACTTTTGAATCGAGAGGTTTAAGTAGTTTTCAAAAAAATGTTATTAAATTGATTTTCATTACAGCTTTTCATTAAATCAATTAATGTAATTAAAGCATTTAAGTTAAAAATAGCATAGAAAGTAGGTCAATGTTGCAATGTTGTATATATCACTGCTGCTGAAACAAAACCTCATATCTCCAAAATGGTAACTTTACAGGAGTGTGTAATAGATGCTGCAGTACCAATGCTGACCATCTCTGGTACGGTGGCGCTGTAGTGTGTACATATACATAAATATGGATAGATGAATAGATAGATAGATAGACAGACAGATATGTAATGTAAAATCATGTAATGTGAATCAAGAGGTTAAATAGTTTTCAAAAAAAATGTAGTTATTGAGTTGATTTTGTTTTAATTTAAGCTTTTCATTAAATCGATTAATGTAAATAAAGCATTTAAGTTACATATGCATACATGTACAGATAGATAGATATACAGACAGATAGATAGATAAATATATAATAGATATGTATGCTGCAGTACCGATGCTGGCCATCTCCGGTACGGTGGCGCTGTAGTGCGCATGAGGGAACACGGGTGGATTGTCGTTGATGTCCTGCACTCTGATGATGAACTGGGACGAAGCCTCCAGCGGCCGGCCCGTCTGCCTGTCTGTCGCCGTGGCGATCAGACGGTACTGATCCTTCTCCTCCCGGTCCAGCGGCTTTCGTCACATGGATGTTTCCCGTTTTCCCGTCAATCACAAACACGGACCCCGCCCCCTCTCCTTTCAGAACGTACTTGGTGCGGCCGTCTCCTCGGTCCATACTGGAGTGCAGCTGAGTGAGAGGAGACAGAATGAGATCAGCTGAAGGAGAGAAATGGAGACCTGCATTAAGACTCACTGCAGTGCAAATCACTGCAGACTAGCATTACTAGCATTTCATGTTGCAGATTTCTGAAGATCAAGCATTTCACACGTGAAGCTTCACTCTAATTTTAACTTTGGTGAACTTTGATGTCTCAGTTTGCATCGTCGATCGTTAGCATGACTGTTTTAGCTGCGCTGGGGCTTCGTATAGATGTTTTGTGTAGATCTTCCAGAGCAGCTACAAATTAGTACATAACAGAGAGTCAGCATGGTGCTCAGTCAGTCAGGATTTCTGTGCTTTTACTGTTAGCTAGCTGGTGAAATACTTCTTGCTATAATATTGCTAGTCACAGCTGAAATGCTAACCCTGCTGGAAAAAAAAGTCATAGAAAACATTGAAAGTTTCTGTTCCTGGTGATTCATTTTGTACCACTTCAACTTTATCCCAAATGTAGTCGAGCACTCAAGGCATGTTTGGTGTCTGAAGTTTGCTCCTTTAGTTTTGCACTGCAGCCAAAAGGCTAACGGGTTTATATCCAGTGCTTGAAAGTTTGTGAACCCTTTAGAATTTTCTATATTTCTGCATCAATTTGACCTCAAACTTCATCAGATTTTCACACAAGTCCTAATAGTAGATAAAGAGAACCAAATTAAACATATGAGACAAAAATATTAGACTTGGTCATTTATTTATTGAGGAAAATGATCCAGTATTTAATATCTATGAGTGGCAAAAGTATGTGAACTTTGGTTTCAGTATCTGGTGTGACCCGCTTGTGCAGCAATAACTGCAACTAAATGTTTCCAGTATTTGTTGATTAGTTCCGCAGATCAGCTTGGTGGAGTTTTAGCCCTGAGTACAAAACAGCTTCAGCTCTGTTATGTTGGTGGGTTTCCTCCCATGAACTGCTGCTTTAGGTCCTTCCACAACATTTCTATAGGATTAAGCCCAGGACTTTGACTTGGCCATTCCAAAACATTAACTTCATTCTTCTTTAACCATTCTTTGGTAGAACGACTTGTGTGTTTAGGGTCATTGTCTTGCTGAATGACTCACGTTCTCTTGAGTTTGAGCTCATAGACAGATGTCCTGACATTTTCCTTTAGAATTTCTTTGTTTATTGTTGAGCCAAAACAGGCCCAAACCATGATACTACCGCCACCATGTTTCACAGATGAGATGAGGTTTTTATGCTGGAATGCAGTGTTTTCTTTTCTCCAACCATGACGCTTCTCCATTAAACCAAAAATATCTATGTTGGTCTCCTCTGTCCACAAGACACTGTTCCAATAGCCTTAGTGGGGTCCAACCTCTTTAGAAATGGTTTTGTAACCTTTTCAGCCTGATAAGCATCAACAACGCTTCTTCCAAGGTCCTCAGAAATCTCCTTTGTTTGTGCTATGATACACTTCCACAGACATGTGTGGTGAGGGTCAGACTGTTCTAGATCCCTGTTCTTTAAAGAAAACAGGGTGGTCACTCACACCTGATTGTCATCCCACTGATTGAAAACACCTGACTCTAATTTCACCTTCAAATGACCTGTTAATCCTAAAGGTTCACAGACTTTTCCCACTCACAGATCTGTAATACTGGATCATTTTCCTCAGTAAATAAATGACCAAGTCTAATATTTTTGTCTGATTTGTTTAATTTGGTTCCCTTTATCTACTTTTAGGAATTGTGTGAAAATCTGAAGAAGTTTCAGGTCAAATATAAGCTGAAATATAGAAAATATAGAAAATTCTAAAACTTTCACACACTTTCAAGCACGACTGTACCTTATATTATAAGAAACTTAAGAAGCAACATGGCTAATCAGTTACATTCCTTTAAGAGTTTCTCGTACTGCTTGCATCATCGTCCATCATCATCATTCTCCAGCTCCAGCTTTTGTTCATGAAAGACACATCAGTTTTGATCCTGAACAGCGAGAGATCACCTCTGCATGACCTCTACATCACACCGCCATTCTTTCAAGAAGGAGTTTTGCATCATAGCTCAGCAGGAAAAAAAACCCTTAAATTCCTTTAGATCAATACAAACGGAGAGCAAAAGCCAAGCAAAGCGCCTGGCAGAACAGACAGCTTGATGGATAATACTGAGATATTGATTACAAATGCACAGCTCTGATAAGAAGCAGGCTTACGTACGGCAGCCTGAAGCAGAGTTTCTCAACAGGTTCCACATTTCAGGAGCTACAAGAGGACATTAAATATGAGCCAGTGTTGTAGTCAAAACACTCACCTTCAAGTCTAAGTCAAGCATAAAGCCCTGTGGCATCGGCTTTACCTGAAGAGGGATTATATGGGATTACAGTGACGAGATCAGTGACTTTAATCCAGTATGAATCTGCAGTGTGTGTAGTTTTACAGTCTGACGGTAATAATTGTGGAGCGATTTTAATCCAGTATGAATCTGCAGTGTGTGTAGTTTTACAGTCTGACGGTAATAATTGTGGAGCGATTTTAATCCAGTATGAATCTGCAGTGTGTGTAGTTTATACAGCCTATAATTTATTCTGTTACTCACTACAACTTTAATTATGCAATTACACTTAATATTATAGTAAAAATGACAGAAATAACTAGAACTCTGAGGGAAAAAGTTGCTTGTCGATTGAAAAACAGCTGGTCTGCTGTTGTTCTGACATGTATGATGGTTTTTCTCTAAGTTAAGTGTTTCTGTATGTTGTGCTGGGGGAGGATTTCTTGGACCCACATAAAAGGCTTCTTTCTGCACTGAAAACTCTTGGTCCAAGTCCAGAATGCCTCTGTTCTTACTATATAATCCACCATACAGGATGTGTGCATCCCCCAGATCAGTGGTCTGCAAGCACCACTTTCTTGCCCACAACATATGCTTGTCATGCTTATGAAATAAAAAAGTTAAAAGTTAATTATTAATTGCATGTTTTGTAATAGATCGACATTTTGTTACAATTTAAAATAAAAACAAATCACAAAACCTAAAACTTAACTCAATTTGCAATGACAAAGTAACATGCTCCTTTACGTAGTGTATTCTTTTTAGGCCGAACGCTGCAGGTTTAGTATTAACCACACAACAGTCACGTAGGTAGCTTAGCCATCTTTCAACAAAAATCAAACCACCTTGGGGCCACAGCATTTTATGTCCATTTTACCATCTTGTCTGTAAATATGTCTCAGTATGTGCTGATGTACTAGTATAGGCTAAAAATATAATATAAATGAAAATACAGACTTACTTTGCTCTGCTTTGAGCTTTAGCACAGCTATAGTCACTTTTCTTGCATCTCCGGCAGGAAACTTTTCCAAAAGTAGAACAGATTCTTGTAAAATGTCTGTCAATGTTCAACTTTTTACGAGGCTGAAGTCACTTCTCATTCGCCAGCTTCTTGTTAGAATTTTCCCGTTCCACCTTAAATGGTCCCTGAGGCACCAGAATGTAACTGCTGCACCATTTAAGCTGGAACGGGAAAATTTGAACAGGAAACTGACTTCAGCCTCGCGACTTTTAGTGTTTGATAGTTTCTCTTTGCAGATTAAACGTATCAAGAAACCAGCTGAATATTTATGAATGCAAATAAGTCCTTTCATCTCCAAATCATCAAATTTCATTTTAAATCTTTCTCTTTGCCTTTTCGTTAGCTACTAGCTCGGCAAGACAGGTGTCTGCGTGTCAATCTTCAGGGTTAAAGGGTGAATTAGCAGTTCTACATTAACTCCAGAGTTTAAGACCATTTATTGTTAAACTGTGTTGAACGATCAGCAGAGCTTTATTTTACTGTAAAGGAGGATTATTTTATTTTTACCTACAAATCTGATTCTGCTGTGGAGTCACAATAGGGCAGTAAAAGAGCCGCATGTGGCCCCAGAGCCGCATGTTGCCGACCCCTGGCCTAGCTAGTTATAGTAGCCTTAACTGATAGCTGATAGTGCTAAACAAAAGAAAGGCCAGCCCCAGTTTTACTTTCACACTGTATCAATGTAGGCTGATAAAAACTCTACATTCATCAACTATGTCTGAAAAACACTACAAACTAGTTTTTTTTTTAATTGAGTCAGTGTTGTTTGTCTGAATCTGAATTTCCTGCCCAAGTCTGACTCGACACAACCCAGGTTCATAATCTGAACCCAACATGAACTTCTTTCTGTCTTTAAGCTCTACAAACATTCAAAATGCAATGTTAGACAAAACTAAACACTTTCAGTGTTTCAGTCACACTTTTAAAGAAATTACGGTCACTATGACCAGTTGGCAGTGGTCAGACTGGTTGGTGTGGTGGTTTTGAATGTGTGTTGGGGGAGGATGGCTTGGAACAACATGAGAGGCTCCTTCTGGACTAAAAGCTATTGGGCTGAATCCAGTTCTATATAATACACAACACAGGATGGAAAACCCACCAGAACATGCATTAAACTAGTGACATTAAGTATTAAGGGGGTTTTGATTTTGATTAAGTATCAATGGGGGCTTACATTAGCGATGAATGCTGATAAAAAGGCTATGTTCAGTGACTGTATTTGAAATTACCCTGTAGACCAATACAAGCATTCAAAATTAGACGCGTTTACTAAATGATTTATTTAACACATTTTAAAGTAGCTCTTTCACTGAAATGTAAGTTCTACATGTAATACGGATATATTATAACCTCTCTGACCACTAGGCAGTGGTCATATTGATTTGTATGGTGGTTTTAAATGGCAGTTTTGTGTGTGTGAACACATGCTGGGATGGATTTCTTGGACCAACATTAGAAGCTCCTTCTGGACTAAAGACTGTTGGGTCAAATCCAAAAACTCTCTGTTCCTATATACTAATATACTGCAGTGAATTGGATGATAAACCTGGTCAGTACATGCCCTGGATTACTGATCAATTAGCATTAGCTACAAAGTCAGCCAAGATAGCTGAGCAATTTTAATTAGAGTCTAATCATGGAACCAAAACCAAGACTGAAGCTTCAGCATTAACTGGAA